GGTCACAAAGATTACATGCTTCTGAGGCCAACAAAGATCACAAGGCAAAGGGCAAAGCAAAGATCACAAGGCAAAGAGCAAAATTAGAATTACTGATAAGGGTCTATGTTCAGCTGTGCACGTATTGTCTTGATAAACAAACAACAGAAAACAGGGTTCGAGAGCAAAGAAACGGTCTGACCTCAAATTCACCAGGATGGGTTTTTTTCCCCACCCTAATAAGCCTGAAGGTACTGCAGGAGACCAGGGTGTATTTCAGTCCTTATTTCAACCGCATAAGACAGACACTCCCAGAGTGACCGTTTATAGACCTCCCCCGAGGAATGCAATTCTTTTCCTAGGGTCTTAATATATTCCTTACTAGGAAAAGAATTTAGCGATATCTCTCCTACTTGCACGTCCGTTTATAGGCTCTCTGCAAAAAGAAAAATATGGCTCTTTTTGCCCAACCCCACAGGCAGGCAGACCTTATGGTCATCTTCCCTTGTTCCCTAAAATTGCTATTATTCTGTTCTTTTTCAAGGTGCACTGATTTCATATTGTTCAAAGACACACGTTTTATAATCAGATTTCATATTGTTCAAACACATATGTTTTACAATCAATTTGTACAGTTAATGTAATCATCACAGGGTCCTGAGGTGACATACATCCTCAGTTTACAAAGATAACAGGATTAGGAGACTAAAGTAAGACAGGCATAAGAAATTATAAGAGTATTATTAGAGAAGTGATAAATGTCCATGAAATCTTCACAATTTATGTTTCCTCTGCTGTGGCTCCAGCCAGTCCCTCCGTTTGGGGTCCCTGACTTCCTGCAACATGCTAGGATTACAGGTGTGAGCCACCATGCCTGGTGAAACTCTGTCCCTACTAAAAATACAAAAATTAGCCAGGTATGGTGACAGGCACCTGTAATCCCAGCTACTCAGGAGCCTAAGGCAGGAGTACCGCTTGAATGTGGGAGGCAGAGGTTTGCAGTGAGCCGATGTTGCACCATTGCACTCCAGCCTGGGCAACAAGAGTGAAACTCTGTCTCAGAAAAAAAAAAGAAAAAGAAAAAAAAGAAAAGGCATAAGTGACTATTCCTCTACCCTTCCCCCAGACGCACATTGTGTATTTGGTGAAAGGCTGATCAAAGGCTGGGCATGGTGGCTCACGCCTCTAATCCCAGTACTTCAGGAGGCTGAGGTAGGTGCACCACCTGCGGTCAGGGGTTTGAGAACAGCCTGACCAAGATGGTGAAACCCCATCTCTACTAAAAATACAAAAATTAGCCAGGCATGGTGGCACACACCTGTTATCCCAGCTCTTTGGGAAGCTGAGGCAGGAGGATTGCCTGAATCTGGGGACTGGATGTGGCAGTGAGCCAACTTTGAACCACTGCACTCCAGCCTGGGCAAGAGAGTGAGACGCCATCTAAAAAACAAACAAACAAAAAAACCCACAAACAAACAAAAAATTTATGGCGTCAATAGAAGCTGACCAACTGATCCCCATTCCCTATCCCCCCAGCCATAACTACAATTTTAATGAGACAAGAGACTCTAGTAACTTTCTCCTGATAAACGCCCACTGACCATGCACTAGTTCTGGCTGAACGACAGAAATTACACATCTGCATGCCTTTGTGTCCTGAAAAGAACGTTTGACAGATAAAATCTAACTGTACATTTAAGAGTTAAGTCTGCATCCCAAAATGAACATGAGTCCTACATTACATGCATATTTATTGGTTCAATACACATGTGTCAGGACCGCCTTCATGAATATTCACAGCTCCTCCTATAACCTGTTAAATATGTGTAACCATTCTGCTGTCAGATCACCATAGAAGCTGTGGGTACAACTGACAGTGCAGAACTTAATTATTAATCAATTTAATAATTAAGATTGAATGCTGGTCAGGCATGGGGGTTCACACCTATAATCTCAGCACTTTGGGAGGCTGAAGCAGGTGGATCACATGAGGCCAGGAGTTCGAGACCAGCCTGGCCAACTTGGTGAAACCCCATCTCTACTAAAAATTTTTTTAAAAACTTAGCCAGGCATGGTGGTGCACACCTCTAATCCCAGCTACTTGGGAGGTTGAGGCACGAGAATTGCTTGAACCCAGGAGGCAGAGGTTGCAGTGAGCCAAGATCACACCCCTACACTCCCACCTGGGCCACAGAATGAGACTCTGTCTCAAAAAAAAAAAAAAAGAAAAAGAAAAAAAGATTGAATGCTGTGTGTACTTCCAGGATAACTCTGAAAACATCCTCGGCCCTACAAGACATGCACAAGCAAACCAGTCCAGTACTATGTCTGATCCCACAATATCTTTAAATCAATGGCTCTCCTCATGATTTGTATCAGGCTTCCTCGTGGGAAAAGTTGCTCGTGATTATAGCCATGATTACAGGGATAGGATTATTCTTCTGCTGCAGACTGTATTGCTGTTACACACTCCCCATGACGCTCCAGCGGATCTCTTCTCTAAGTTCAGGGACTTTCAAGTGCTGTCAACTCTGGGTGAATAAGTTCATTCCGTGGCCCCCTGACTATGCCCCTTTTCAATACGAAGTAGCCAGAATGAATCAGTTGCCTGTTTTCCATAGAGACAGAATGAAACTTGACAGTGGGGAGTTTGTAACCAGGAACCTCAGTTATTTAAATCACCCTCTTTCTTTTTCTTCCTTCCCTCCCCTCTGACCGCTTTACTCCTAACCTCTCTAGATACTCCCCTTCGGCAATGCCTGCTTATCCAATTATGCACTTAAAAAATTCCAGACCAGGTGCAGTGACTCACACCTGTAATCCCAGGCTCACATGTGTAATCCCAGCACTTTGGGAGACCAAAACAGGAAGACTGCATGAGCCCAGGAGGTTAAGACCAGCCTGGGCAACATAGGGAGGCCCTGTCTCTACAAAAAAATTTAAAAATTAGCCAGGCATAGTGGCACATACCTGTGGTCCCATCTACTCAGGAGACTGAGATGGGAGGATTGCTTGAGCCCAGGACGTCAAGGCTTCAGTGAGCCATGATTGCACCACTGCACTCCAGCCTGGGCGACAGAATGAGATCCTGTCAAAAAAACAAACAAGCAAGCAAACAAACAAAAAAACCAGATACTACTCTTGAAACAAATCAGGCAGGGAGCCACTGTGGAATTTTCCCACTTGGGAGGCGTTGGGCACAATTAGTCCACCACCATCAGGCCAAAGTCAGGTAATCACCAACCAGACCTCCGGAAGTTCAAATCTCCTAGATAGCCGCTGGAAGAGGATCCACAGACCTGCACGCTGCACCCCGCACCACGCCCACATGCCTCTCACACCAAGCTTCCCTTTAAAACTCCTACGGTGAATTTTAAAATATAAGATGGTACTTTATAACACTAGCTCACCCTCTTCTTGGTTTTCTGACTTTCCAATTAAACCTGCTTTTCCTGCCATCAACCCTCACCTCTTGTGTTCTGGCTTTTAAGTGGTGAGCAGCTGAACCTGGGTCTGGTTACATGGCCACATCGTTACCTACGTGTGCGCGTGTGCGAGTGGGCAGAATTATATGGTGACATCTCAATGGAGGAGGGATCTGCCCTCAGAACTCATTTCCTCTGTGTCTCCAGTCCCCACTGACCCTGGGAGAAACATGAGATCACAGGACAATTTACGATGTGACAGGCTGTGTGCAGGAGAACAGAGCCTCAATTCTTCAAGACACCTGGAGTCTCCCTCCAGCCCAGGGCCTGCCTGACCCATGCTGGGTGATTCACAGGTACCCACACGTCCTTGACTCCCCTGATATCATTCACTGGAAACACTCAACCCTCGGCTCACTACAACCTCCACCTCCCGGGTTCAAGTGATTCTCCTGCCTCAGCCTCCCGAGTCGCTGGGATTTCAGGTGTGTGCTACTATACCCAGCTAATTTTTGTATTTTTAGTAGGGTTAGGGTTTGACCATGTTGGCCAGGCTGGTCTTGAACGCCTGACCTCAGGTGATCCACCCGCCTTGGCATCCTAAAGTGCTAGAATTACAGGTATAAAATGTATTTTTTAATATTCAGTCCTTTTCCAGGAAAAAATACTTTAATATGGAGACTTGAGCCTACTTTATATGAAGACTTGAGCCTGATGTCATAATAATAATAATATTAAATGCAGAATAGCACAAATGGAGGTATTCTTAAGAATTCTTTTGTAATGTAAACATTCATAGCCCCAATTGGTTCATTTTGTAGATTTAGGTATTCTTCCTTAAAACCAGAAATGCTTTTCTACCAAGACTTTTATTCATATGTAAAGAAATAAAACCTAAGGAAACAGTGACTGAAAGATTTCATTCTAGGCAGCCTGGCAGAAAGAGACCTCGGTCACTCGGTTCTGTGGTTCCCTGATTGGTGGTGCATGAAGAAATTGCTTTATGTCTTTTATCTGTTTCAACTGCAGAACGAAAGAAGAGACATGTGAGATCTGTATGGCTTTGGATTCAGTTCCAAAGTTTGCCTCCTGGACTCAGAAACTGGCCATTGGTCTGAATTAGACTGAGAGCTGGCAGGTCACTCAGCCTTCTTTCACTTTGTAGATGATGAAAAAAAAAATTGGGAGTTCAATAAAACCGGGACTAAAATCCAGGTCTCCTGATTTTCCAAGTGAAGCCAAGATTCTGCCAGTCACCTGCTGTGTCCCTCTTACACTCCTAGAGCCTTTGCTATAAGCTATCTCCTCTCCAGCTGCCGCAAAACCGAACCCCCAGAACAGCCTTGACTTCAGACGGAAGAACTTGATTCAAATCACGGTTACCGCACATTAGCTGGGTGTCCTTGGGCAAATTGCATGCACTCTCTATGCTTTCATTCGCTCCTCTGCAAAATGGGGCTGATGATGTCTGACGTGCAGTGGTATACGTATTTTACAGTGCCTGACATGTAGGAGCAGTGTGACAAACAGCCGTGACGATGGTGACAATGAGGAAAAATGAGCATGGTGGACTTAGACACCTGTCCAGAAACAGACCTGCACAGTGAACTCAGACAAGGGATGTCGCATGAACTTGCCTGAGCCCCACATGGGACATTTGTGGTTTTTCTGCCTTGGGATAGCAGAAGCAGTAGTTTTCCTGTCCTAGGTGTTGTCATGAATTTAATGAGCTACTGTTGGATCCATGCACCTTTGGGGTGGGATAGAGGAAAGCAGTAATGGCTCTTGAGATTCAGGGATTTCCCTGAGGATAGGAAGGTATTAAGTTGGTGCAAAACTAATTGTGGTTTTTGCCATTACTTTTAATGGCTTTTTTTTTTTTTTTTTCAATAGAAACAACTTGCCAAAAAACACAGTTATGGGAAAATGTATTTAGAGTACATAATCATACCCTATTATGCGATATAGTATATATACTCTATATATGCTACATTTTTGTTGTTGTTGTTGTTGTTGTTTGTTTTTGAGACAGAGTCTCGCTCTTGACACCCAGGCTGGAGTGCAGTGGCACCATCTCGGCTCACTGCAACCTCCGCCTCCTGCGTTCAAATGTTTCTACTGCCTCAGCCTCCCGAGTAACAGATTACAGGAACGCACCACCATGCCTGGCTAATTTTTGTATTTTTAGTAAAGACGGGGTGTCACCGTGTTGGCCAGGCTGATCTCGAACTCCTGACCTGAAGTGATCGCCCATGTCTGACTCCCAAAGTGCTGGGATTACAGGCATGAGCCACCATGCCCAGCCAAACGGCATTACGTTTAATGAAAAAAACCACAATTAGTTTTGCACCAGCTTAATAGATTTCTCAAAAGGAAAATGGAGATGCACCCCATGGAGACTGGAAGAATGAGACAGTTGATGGACAGGAAAAAACCCTGAAGGTAGAAAACAGCAGAGAAAAAAGAACGTGCCACAAGGGACCCCTGTGGAGAGTTTATCTTCCTGGAGGCCTTCCTGGTGAGCTCTGAAGAAATTATCCTTGACAGTTTTAAGGTTTTTCCCTCCAATGTTGCAAGTCCCCACATCCACAGCCTAATCCAAGCTTGAGTGATAATATGACGGAGGACAGAGTGTCAGGAGAATAATGAAAAGCGGGACCTGCCTGAACTGTTCCGGAGGTAAAAGTAAACTATACAAACTCAAACTTCACCACTCCCAAGGGCAAACATGCATTGTCAGTGATGGCACCACTGATGTCTAGAAGGAAGACAGATGTTTTCCTGTCTTGTCTCATAACCTGAGAGGTTCTTCTCTTGCACAGTGGAGACCATCCTCTACATTATGACAATGACACAGAGCCCTTGTAGGTCCTAGCCTTCATCCTCTCTTTACAAATGGCCCCTGTGTGGCCCATTGGAACTAAGAGAGGGGACTATTGCTCAGCCACATACCTCCCAATGACCACACAAAGACCAGAGAAGCTCAGAATTACTGCCCATTGGGATACCACAACTCTCTTAAGGATAAGTTACCTAAGTCTCAGTTTCTCCATCTGCAAAATGGAAAGAATAGGTCCTACCCTATATGGGTATCACATCACCTCAGCGAGCAGCTCCAGTTTTATTAAGGCATCCTCTGCAGTGCTTGGCATGTGGTAAAGAGTCACGTTGTTGGTTTCTCTCCTCCACTTCTTAGTAATTCTCACTGAAGTCAACTCTCACAGTTCATCTGTGAAAAAATGCTTCCAACAGCACCGTGACAGGACCTTAAAATTTGGGACCCCAAGGAAAGCTTTGCACAAGGGGACATATGGAGCCTCTTCAGAAAGGCTACTCAGCCAGGAAATTGTTTCTAGGAATATGATCTAGCATTATTTCCAGGAAGAAAAAGTGACTCATTGGAAAAAGTGATTAGACTTTGTTCAAAGTTCCCCCTCCCCTTCCAAACTGGGTTCATCTCTACCAAGGTGCAAGGGGCTGGTTAACGTAAAAGAGGCTTTAAGGGAAAGGAAATTCCAATATGTCAATCTGAGGGTTGTGAGCAGAGAAGATGCAGTTCACCACTGGGGCTTGGTGAGGAGGGGATGGGGAGGGCCTTGGGGGTCTCATGGGAAGACATCTTGTGCACCAACCTTGAACCTTGGGTGTTTTTTTTTTTTTTTTTTTTTTTTACAGACAAGCTCTCTCTCTGTCATCCAGGCTGGAGTGCAGTAGTGCAATCACAGTTCACTGCAGCCTCCAACTCCTGGGCTCAAGTGATCTTCCTGTCTCCTCACCAAGCCCCAGTGGTGAACTGCACCTTCTCTATCTGCTCACAACCCTCAGATTGACATATTGGAACTTCCTTTCCCTTAAAACCTCTTTTATTTTAACTAGCCCCTTGCACCTTGGTAGAAATGAACCTCCTGAGTAGCTTGAACTACAAGTGTTCACCACCGCACCTGGCTAATTTTTTTTATTTTTTGAGATGGGAATCTCACTATATTGCCCAGGTTGATCTTGATCTCCTGGGTTCAAATGATCCTCCCACCTCAGCCTCCCAGTGTTGGGATTATAGGCATGAGCCACTGCGCCCAGCAACTCAAGTGTTCTTTCTAAAAACCACTGGTGGTGACCTTGATCTCTTCAACTTCAGTGATTCCTGACCAGACACCAGCAGGTCAGGAACTCAGGATGATGACCTCACTTCCAGGCCACCCAGTGCTGCAAAGGTGGACGGGAGGCTCCAGATTCCTAGGGATTCAGCCTTCAGGTATCTCCTTTCTGGAATGACTACTGCTGGGTTCCCCTGTGGAACTTGGCCTGCTCTCCCCCAATCCTCCCTCCCCGTGGGTCTCCACAGATTGTCAAAACACCAGCTGGTTCTCCTCAGCCGCTAAGTCTAGGAGAGGAAAGAGCAGAGGAGTTATGGACATGGCTTTGAGGGTTTTTCCATCATCTAAGGGTTCAATATTTAGAGCAATATTGATCCAATTTACCTAGTGTTGTCGTGTTCCATTGGTTGCTAGACAACAGAGTTCTTTCTGCCGTGTACTCTGGATGGCTCATGGGAGTTGGACTACCAAAGAGATTACTTTGTGTATGTTGGACTAAATGGACCATAGGTGCTATACATAAGTGTGGGTGGGGGGATACTGTTTTACTGGGCAGTGTTAAGACCAGTTTTCCTATCATATCTCAGTAATTGCAGTTCAGCCTCCAGAACGAACACAGCCATTCATTTTCACATTCCCTTACAAGATGCCCTCTGAGAACAATTTAACACAAAGTTGTGCTGATGCATAAAACCCTATGTCGTGTGCTTACCATTCCATCCTCATAAAGTTCAGGCCTGCACTGGAGCAAGGATGGATTTATTCCTTCTCCTTTCCACCTGCCACAAGCCCGTTCATAACCAAAAATAGCAACGTGGATTACAAAAGGTCACATTCTGGTTTGCACTTCAATCCTAGTATGGCAGGGTCTTTCTTCATTTCCCTTATCCCATCTTCCCTGTTCATCCCAAAATTGCCTTCCCTGTTTTTGTTTTTGTTTTTGTTTTTTTGGAGGCTCTTTTGTAAGTCCTTAACACAGATGCTTGCTGTGACTTTAAAATCCCGTCAGAACAGCAGGTAATGAGGCAAAAGGAAGGGGAGAGTGCAGGGAGAGGCAAGTGCAGGCAAGTGACCAACAATGCACATTTATAGGGAACAGAAATGGAAAACAGATACTATGCAGGAGTATAAAGCATTGCCCTAGGAGCGCCTTCATCAGCCTCTGGAGAATAGAGTTTCTGAGATCCAGGCAAATCATACAGTAAATCATTGGGAGCTGCAGACTCATTGTAAGCAGCTCTAAGCAATGGCCCTTCTGGGCTGCCTGGTACCCTGTCTCAACATCTTTCTAGTGGCTGTGCAGTAGCCAGCATTCCTCTGATAACCATTGAGGTTTTCTTGAGTTGTCCACATTGCAGCTGCCCTGGGTGGTGGACCACCAACCTTAACTTCCTTCTTTCCTCCAAGAGTGCTACAACTCCTTTGCTAGACTCTCCAAATAGTGGCCTTGGTCCTTTTGCATCCTTGTAACTCCCACTCTCCTGGAACAAATTCCACTGGAGCCACTAGAAAATGGCTTACAGAGCCACCATCTCCCTCTTGGAGGTCCAGGTCTTGCTGCTCCTGCAAGGTAAGAAACTCTGCTATAGATGAAAACACCCCATTGCTAGTTAAAGAGACAAGAACATCTATTCAGAGGAATGCTGGCTACACAAAAGACTCAGAGAAGGCAAAGAGTGACTAGAAAAAGGATGGTTTCTGATTTTGTCAATCTATTTTGCAGCTCATAGAAGTTGTTGATTTAAATAATCTATTAAAAGACTTTGTGGCTGGGCACAGTGGCTCACACCTATAATCCCAGC